TTCCTTTGCATGCTGCTGTATCCTCAGGATAAACTTCAGTTTTCAAAAATAAATGATTAAATTTTCTTAAGTTTGGCTTGCTTAGTAGAGCTTCAGTATGTTAATTATACCCAAACTGTTTTTTTGGCCCACAGTATCAATGTTCCTTTTAAAGGCAAGGGTGGTTTTTTTTACTTGAAAGAATTTATGGTGGACTGAGGGGGAAAAAAAAACTTGACTCATCTCATTTCTTTCAATAATATTTATGCTTATGCCCTGTTTTTATAGAATAATCACCTTGTGTGAAGGGGTGTATTTTAAAATGGAATTTTATCTGAGTCATACTGGATAATGTGGACAAAATTCACCCTTTTTGAAATTTAAAAGCTCTTTGCATCATTGTCCTGAATAGCCAGCATTTTGTTTTACCTGTCACTGTTGCTTTTTAGGCTCTGCTGATGATTTCTGTTTCCCCCTTAGGTGGTTTCCATGATGGATGGTCTCACCCATATCATATCAGTTATGATTGACTGTGTCAACTTCTCACCATATGGTACCAAGTACCAGCCAAAAAACAGATGTAAGAAAACACTTCCATACTGGGGTTTTCTGTGTCTTTCTTCCAGAGCTGGTTGAACCTGGGAGGAGTTGTAGAGGCCAAGATGCTGACTAGGGTATCAGTGATCTGTATGTGCTACACAATGTCTGAGCACTGAAGGGATTGACAAAAAAAAAGAGAAATGGTAAAAAGGAACTCAAAATACCATCTAGTTTGCATATTGGAGTATAGATCTCTTCTGTTTGTTGAGTAGTTGCTGCACAATCTGCCAAAATGCATCTGAAGTGGATGTGAACACTGAGGTCACTGCAGAACTGCTGCTTTCTGAGGCCATGGGTGTGATTTCATTTGTGATTTCATTGCTGCAGGTGAAATCTGCTGCTTTTGCTTTCCTCACATGTAGTCTGAAGCAGAAATGCTTGATTGTAATCCAGTTTAATTCTAGAATACCTGCCTAAAACTGGTGCTCAACTGTTAAAATTTGAAAGGCTACAGCTCCTGAAGCTGCTTGGCATGAAACAGTCAAGAGCAGGGTTAGCAGAAGACAAAAGGTGGTCATATATCATAAAGTCTTCTGTTTCCAATTCTCATTTACAACTAAACCAACATCATTCAGTATAGAAATTAAAAGTATTTATAATTTCTCTGCCCCTATGAACTTGTCAAAGCAGTAGGACCTTGTGTTGGAGTCCTGCAAATACAAAATGCTTTAATTGGAAATATTGATGAGGAAGAACACGATGGAAACTTCACTTTTTATATAAATAAACTAATAAAACTTGATACTTCCCTTCTTCCTCACCTGTTGCAGAATTTAAGTGTATTGAGCTGGTGTCTGTAGAGTGGCTCCTGTCTCTTTGCAAGTAGGTGTTAAAAATATGTTGTATGACCAGCTATAAATTAAAAAAAGAAGGGCCACAGCAAACAAACCCATTAAAAAACCCCAGGAAACCTATCTGAGGTGGTAAAAGAAAATTATGCATTAAAAAAAATTGAATGTCTTACATTAGATCTGGTTTTAAACTATTTGTATGTAGGTAAAGTTTGGGAATCAAAGTTTTATTCCTCATGCAGACAAAGTTCAAGTGTATTTTGTTGTAATGAGTGTTGTTGAGATAAAGAAATTAATGGGTGAGATAAGAAAGAAATTAATGGTGGTTTTTTTTTTGTTAGCACCACAGACACCTACAGATTGGTCTAAGAAGAAGAAGGAGCCCCTTGGGAAGCTTGCTTCTCTGTTTAAACTCCTGGTGATGTTACTGAACTCTTTCCATGAGTTTAGTTCCCAAGAAGCCTGCTCAGAAACGTTGGTCTCCGTGGGCCCTTCCATTGTTGCCATTCTTCACAACATCATCAGCCACGTTTCCCTGCCAGCAGTGATTGGGAGTATGTTTGCAGCTTTTTCAAAACCCCTGGCAGTGTTTTATGAAAGAACAGAGTGAGTATTTTAGGAATGGCTGGAATTTTGGATTCACTGCTGCATGCTGCTGCTGAAATTCCCTGTGGTTTGCAGTGGTGTGTTTGAAGGTAGCGTGGGGGTTTTCTGTGCCAAATCTCTGAGAGCACCACATTTGGAAAGACACCACTTCAGTAGTGCACCCAAATGCTGCAGGAAGAACAGGTCTGTGCTATGGAGCTGCTGAGCACTTGCTGTTTTCTACAATTGCTGCATAAAAACTTGGGGTGCTGGCGTTGCTGGAGCACCCTGATGTCACAGTGGTCACTGCAGAGCCCACGGCCCAGCCCTGCCATCTCGTGAGTCTCAGAGGGACTCAAAACACCCCCCACCAGAGCAGCAGCCTCCACAGTCATGGTTTTCTTTAGAAATAACCCCAAACTTGCCTGGTCACCCATGAAAGGAAAGCTGTGGGGCTTCTGAGGGCTTGGCACTGAAAATTGTCAGCACTTCAGAGTAAATACATCGTCACATCTGCAAGACCAAGGTGTTTGGCATCCATTGGCTGTTTATTTTCACTGCTGTGAAGTTATGAACAGAAGAAGGCAGTTAAATTACTTCATAAGGAAACCTTTAATTTTAAGTTTCTGCTAATTACTACTCCTCTTTCCATTGATTCTTCTTCAAGTCAGCACATGAGTGAGGGTTAGAGGATAGGCTTCCTCTAAACTATTCACATCAGGAAACGTTTACATTGCCCAGTGGGAGGCTTTTTTCACATGATTTCTTCACCAGGTTGTACACTACAACTCTTGTGCAATCCTTGAGTGCATTGTGTTTAATTCTCATGCTTGGGATAAAGGAGACAGGAAAATATAAGGTGGGTTTTTTTTGCTTGTTTTGACAGGCTTCCTGATGCATCTGAAGTGTACAGTAACCTTAACAACCAGGTAAGTGTGCTGGAGAAATAGCTGGGGGTTGGGAAAGTGCACGACTGCAGAGTTTTGCCATTCATCTTAAAAAATAATAATTTGGAAATGTAATGAAGATAGAGATTTATTTTTTAAGTTATTTATTTTTTGCTACCAAGGCAGCTGAGGGGGGGAGCACTAAGTTGAACCCTCAGACTTTCCCTGCGGTGAAGCTTGTTTAAAAGAAACCTGTTTATTCTAGGGCATGATAACATTTTAAGCTTTGAAATAGTGAAGAGATGCAATAGTTGAATGGAAAAATAACCCAAAGCCTTGTTGCTGCTTCCCTCTGTCAGCTGGAAGAGCTGCTGGCCGAGATCCTCCTGTGCTTACAGTCTCACTGCAGCGGCTCCTACGACCAGGAGCTGCTGGAGCAGCTTTCCCCACTGCTGGGCCTCGTGTTCCAGCACAGGAACAAACAGATCCGCAGCCAGTGTGCCCAGTTCTGGAACACCACCTTTGCCAAGACTGCATCCTTAACATACCCTGAGGAGCTGAAGTAAGATCATTTTTGAAATAGATTTGTGTTTTTAGAGGAGGAGGCCTCAGGTTCAACACAAAGGAATTGGTTTCGTTCTGGTTTGCCCGTTTGTATCCCGCTCGCTGCGCACGGGGGGATACCTGCTGGTTTTATTGTGTGCCTTCCCCCTTCTCCTCTCCCTGAAGTTTAAAGTCCTTTTTTTTTTGTTGAGCAGATCTGTGTTAATTGAAGCCAAGAAGAAAATGCCTCTCTTGCTGCCTGGCTTGGAAAACGTGGAGATGGCCGAAGACAACAGCGGCCCGTTCTCTGACGCGGTAAAGATCTTGTTGACCCAGAGAGGTCCTTCACTGTGTGTAACTTCATGGGAATTTTTTGGGAGGTAGAGTTGTTCAGGAGGCAGCAACGAGGCCCCTTTTGGCTTTCACAGTGATTGGCCTGCACTGGGTTCATGTTAAGACTGATAAACCCTGCTGTGGAAGCAGCGGTCGCGGGCCGATCTTAGTGGGCTGCCGGCTGTTGGGATGCTCCCCTGTCTTCCTCCTCCCCCCAAAGGGGAGAGGTTTGGGAATCAGACCAAGGGTGCACGTGGTGCTCGGCCCTCCCAGGGGAACAGCCACTGCAGGGCCATATCTGAGAGGGTAGGTTGGAAAACTCCCTCCCCACACTCACAAGGTGTTACCGGGACCAATGATCAACGTACGAATTATTCGGTTTATTGAAAGTCTACACAGATGGAGGGCTGAGGTTCAGCAAAGAATTTTGCTTTCAAACTTCCTCTGTATAGCAGAGTTGAATTAAATTTTTCTCTTCAAATCCCCTGCCAGGTGACAGGCAGCGAGGGTCAGGCTCCAGCTGTGGCTTCTAACCAGCAAACAGTGAGACGTTCGTTAAGACGACGGGTGGAGGCTGCAGAAAGCACAGCAGGTAGTCAGGATGCAGAAGATGGCCACCAAAAGAGAGGCAGACATAAAGATGAGGACTTGAGCTCAAAGAAGCCTCCTGATTCAAAGGAAGATAGCTTGAAGGCTGACCCAGAAGGTCAAGACTGTAGCTTGGGTGCAGCAGGTCAGAAGAAGACGGAACGCCCGCGATACTACACGAGAAAAGCTTCCCAAGAATTGTTTTCCAGCACAGAAAACTCAGAGGCTGATGGCTCTGACACCAAGGAAGACAGCACGAGGAAGAGAAGATACACCAGAGTGAAGAACAGAAGTGATTCTCCTGAAGGGAAATTGAAACATCCACAGCCAGGAAGCCAGAGCCATGAGGCGTCTTCCCAAGAAAGCAGAACCAAGAAGCTGTTGGACACGACTGAAGGTGACCTGAAAATCCCAGGGGTTCCTGCAGGTGCTGGCAGAGCTGTGGGAGCTGCCAGCCCCAGGACTTCCCCCCGTGTGCAGGACACAAGTGTGGAGCTAACACAGAGTGGGATGTTGGTGGAGTCTGACCAAAGCTGGAAACCAGAGGAGGAAAGTAAACACACTGAGAAGCAAAACCATGCAGAATGCTGTTGTTCAGACATCCTGTCAGGATCCAGTGCTTCAGGTGGGGATGTCCTCCCCTTGCATACACCCGAGTGTCAGCAAAGACAAAGTGGAAAGCCAAAAACACTAAGGACCTACTGCCACAGTGTTAAAGATTCAGACCAAGAACTGATGTCACTCACCCCAGCAGAAGGTGAGAACACGCCTGAATGGAGCAAGCCCCAAAGCACCAGCCCAGAGCAGAGCTCCCTGAGGATATTAGAGGTGTCTGGTAACTTACCTTTGGGTGAGAGCTTGTTCATGGCACCTTATGCCATGAGCACTCCACTGCAGCCTCTGAAGGAACCTGTGACGTTTAGCTTGGGAGGAGAAGGAACACCTGGAGATAACCTGCAAGGGAGCATTGTTAAGGAAGAGGATCTGGTGAAGCCAGAATCTGTTGCAGGTGAAATAGCTGCTGCCTATGTAGTAAAAGAAGAACCTGCTGAGGAAGTTGGTCTGATGAAGCCAGAGTCTGTTGCAGGTGAAATAACTGTTGCCTACACTGTAAAGGAAGAACCTGTTGATGAGAGCGGCCAAACTGACCTGTGTCTGTCTGCCTGTGTTGTGGATGGACCTGGAGACAGTCTGGCTGTGGGGGGTCAGAGTGAAGGACCAGCTGCTCCAGGACAGGAAGCAGTCAGTCAGAATGGACCACTGGAGGAGATGCCTGAGGCACAGACCGCTTGCAAACTGGAGAAGACAGAGCTGGACGAGCCAGCAGGCGGCCAGGACAATGAGAGCCCTGTGGGGGAAAGGGGCGTTGCTGGGGATGATGGGGAGCTGAAGGAGGAGGCGGGGACAGTGGTGCTGGTCCTGTACCCAGTGGAGGTGGGAGGAGGCCCCAGCGTGGGCTCCCTTGAGCAGGTGGCAGCTCAGGACCCCCCGGCCACCGAGAGCCCCGGGGAGGCGCAGGGGCGCTGCGTCTGGTCTCCCTCTGCCTCTCCCTCCACCAGCATCTTGAAGAGAGGTGCAAAAAGAGGCCAAGAGGACAACTCCCCATCACCTGCCAACAAGGTACCGCCTGGCACGGCCCCCCAGGGCACACCCAGCAGGGACAGGACACCCAGCCCTGGCCCCTCTTCCTGGTTCTCTGGCAGCTGCCAGGAGGGGGCTTTTGGGGGAAGGTACAGGCACTGCCAGGAGGTGGAGGCTTGGAGGGGTTCCTTTTGGGGGAAGGTACAGGCACTGCCAGGAGGTGGAGGCTTGGAGGGGTTCCTTTTGGGAAGGTACAGGCACTGCCAGGATCTGGAGGCTTGGAGGGGTTCCTTTGGGGAAGGTACAGGCACTGCCAGGAGGTGGAGGCTTGGAGGGGGTTCCTTTTGGGAAGGTACAGGCACTGAGGGGTGTTGTCAGGGGGGTGTTTCTCAATCCCAGCACCAACGTCCACGCTGCCCGGGTGGCGGTGCCACAAGTGTCACTGCAGAGCCTGTGGGCCTGGGCTCTCTCCACGGGGTTTTGGGCAGCTCCCTACACACTGTGTTTAACTTCAGCAAGGAGGAGAGCAGAGTTTCTAACCCTCTTCCCTCTCACAGGTCCGTCGTGTCTCCTTTGCAAACCCCATCTACCAGGAAGGGGTGGCGGATGACATCGACAGGAGCCCTGTTGTCAGGTTCCATTTGTCACCATCTTCCAGAACTCCTAAATCTTTGCCTGGTGTTCAGAGCAAGGTAAGTGCCATTTACATGGTGTCCACGTGCTGAAGTCCTCCTGTTTCTCATCTGTGGTAGGCAACAGCACTCTGGTGTATGTTTATGTGCTAAGAGCACAGAACCAGTGAGTGTGAGAAGCAGTTGTGACTGCTTTTACCTGTTAAAAATGCACCCAAATCTAGGTAGCCAGAAAGCTGCAATTCATTGAATTCCTGCAATCCTGAGAGATCATCTTTCCTCTTTTTTTTTTTCTATCCAGACTATCACCACTCCATCCAAAGGATTCCTGTCCCCAAGACTTCGTAACGCTAAGTTTGGAAGCTCAAAGAAGTGTTTAGTAAGAAGTGCTTTCATTCATGGGTTGTTTTTTTTCCCCCCATATTGAGCTGTGGGACAGGGAATGGAATAATTGCTCTGCTTTGTTCAGGAGATGGCCAAGGGGTCGCTGCCATCCCCCACGGGGTGTGTGTACCCTGCCCTGGTCAGCTGCACAGCACCCATCGGCGTCATCCTGCCCCGCATCACATCCAACATCTGGTGAGTGGGTTGTTCCTCTTGAGAGACACCTTTTACTAGAAACTGAGTTCTCACTGAACCTGCCAACCCCCAAAAGGGGATGACTTAGAATCATAGAAGGGTTTGGGTGGGAAGGGACCTCTCAAGGTCATTGAGTCCAAACCCCCCTGCAGGGAGCAGGGACATCTGCAGCTAGAGCAGGGTGCTCAGAGCCCCATCAAGCCTGACCTTGAATGTCTCCAGGGATGGGGCCTCCACCACCTCTCTGGGCAGCCTGGGCCAGGGGCTCAACACCCTCAGTGTCAAAAAACTTCTTCCTTAAAAAATAAAGGCATTTTTCTGCCACAAAGTGTTTTATAAAAGGGGGGAGATTCGTTTGGTGAGGGAGAGACTTAACTGTTCTGGGATTATTCAAGTCACCTATGGAAAGTTTGCACCCAGGAACACTCCAGTTCCTGTGGTGGAGCAGATGGATCTTTGTGGTCTGTGGTGAGGCAGATGGAGCTTTCTGTGTGTTGAAAGCCAAGTTGATTTTGGGAAAAAACATCCATTTCAAAGGTATCAAGGCCAGATGCTTATCTTGTTTGGTTTCCAATCTGAGTGTGGATCCCCTTTTCCAACGTTGGAGCTGCCCAGAGTGGCCTTTTCTAGTGTCCTTGTCATGAGTGGGAGGAAGAGGAGCCATCTGAGCAGGCTCTAGACTGGGATTCCCTGGTGAATTTGGGACAAAGTGCCAACAGGTGTCGTTCTGCAGCTGGAATGTCATTGCAGTTTGGGTTTTTCCTTCACTTCTGTGTCTGCAGATCATCGCTGGTGTCATTTCTACCATAATAAAACATTTTTCTTTTCTCCCACCATTTTCCTCCCTTGCTGAAGTGCCAGTGGGTTGGGGCAGCTCATTCGAGCAAAGAACATCAAGACAGTGGGTGACCTGAGTTCTCTGACAGCATCAGAAGTCAAAACTCTTCCCATCCGCTCTCCCAAGGTTGCCAACGTTAAAAAGGCCCTTCAAGGATATTATGAGCAACAGGTAAAATTTAATTTCAGTACCCAAAAAGCCAGTGTTAGCCTGGTGAACTAACATCCACCCTGAGGGGGAAGGGTGGGGGGGTTTTACCTCTGCCTGTGTGGGTAACCTGGGGACTCGTGGGGGTGCGGCCTGGCTGCAGCAGGGTCAGTGGGAGTCGTGGGTGTCCTCGGTGTGTGGCTGCAGCGGGGTCTCGGCGCGTCACCCTTGGGGCCTGGGGGCCTTTGGTTGGCTTGGCCTGGAAAACGCCTCTTGTTCTTCCCCAGAAAAGCCTGCAGGTAAAATCTCAGGGCTCGGAGGAGGTCATTGTCATCGAGGATGCAACGAGTCCCCTGAGGAGAGGCGGGGATGTCAGCGAGGCCCAGGACGGGGCCCTGCCGGAGAACGGGGCCCTGCCGGAGAACGGGGCTTTGACAGAGAACCGGGCCCTGCCGGAGAACGGGGCCTTGACAGAGAGTGGGGCCCTGCCAGACAATGGGACCCTGCCGGTGGAGAACATGGCCCTGCCAGAGAAAGGGGCCCTGCCATCAGAGAACGGGGCCCTGCTGGTAGAGAACGTGGCCCTGCCAGAGAACGGGGTACTGCCATCGGAAAATGGGGCCCTGCCAGAGAAGCTGGAGAATGGGGCCCTGCCAGAGAATGTGGCCCTGCTGGCGGGAGGCAGGGGCCCGCCGGGG